TCTAGGAGGTAATGAAGCCAAGTCCTGTAGGGTTCGACAAGCTGAGGGAAAGCCTTTATTCTTACTCAGAGATGTGTAGGTTTGAGGGAAGATGTTGAGATGACCAGCTTTCTTTTCTAGAGTTCGAGAGAGGGCTAGGCTGGGGCCAGACCTAGGAGGGATTCAGTGTACTGCAGGAGTCCAGCTGGCACACAGGATCCCTGACACTCCCCTACTCTGAATATTTCCTTTTAGGAGATTGAGGAGGATCGTAAAAAAGCTGAACTCGAAGGAGTGGCGGTAACAGCTCCCCGGAAGGGCCGCTTGATGGAGAAGGAGAATGTGACAGTTGAGGTGGTGAGCTCATCACCATGGTGGGGGACTCCTGAAGATGGAGAGGGGGTGGAGGCCTGGGGCCCAGGAGCCTTCCAGTTGCCCTAGGCCTATGGGTTGTCTCAATCCTGGCAGCTGCCCTCTCTGAGCCTGGGGAGTCCCAGTTTCCCTGCCCCTCTACTATTCCCGTCCCCTTTCTTCCAGGAGAAGAGCCTGGGTTCTTCTCGGAGGTCTCCTGGGACCCCTCGGCTCCCAGGGGCCAGCAAGGGACACCGGACCCCCCCACAGCAGGGAGGCCGGGCAGGCATGGGCCGGGCATCCCGAAGCTGGGAGGACAGTCCTGGGGAGCAGCCTCGAGGAGGAGCTGGGGGTCGTGGCCGGAGGGGCCGGGGCCGGGGGTCCCCTCATCTCTCTGGGGCTGGAGACGCTTCAACCTCCGACCGCAAATCCAAGGTAGGAGCTGGGCAGGGCTTGAAACCTCTGACTGAGGCTTTCTGTTGTCTTGTTTGTTTCTATTCCTACTTTCAAGTGGACTGTTTTCCTGTTTGTCCATCTTTCAGCCCCTCCATCTGCTCTTTCTCTTCCTCCCTCTCTCTTCTCCTCCCCTTTCCTGACCAGTGCTTATGTGTTCTCTCCCTGTCTCTTCCCCTATGTCTTCTTTTCCCTCACTGTTTCTGGTGCATGCTTGCCTTCTCACCCTCTCTCCCTGTCTCTCTCTCCTCTCTATTTGGCGCCATCTGGTGTGCTTATGTATACATATGGGTTCTGTGCAGTGCTCTCTCTCTGTTGATGTCTGTCTCGATCCCTAGATTTGTTTATGGGGAGCAGGGATCTTATTACAGCTGCTCTTCCTGCCCCTGATGCACAGGTCAGCAGGGCGGGAGGCTCTTCAGCATAGTGGCTTATAGCTCACCATGGACTTGGGTATGACCTACCTCTATTAGTTATTTGTCCTTGGGCAGCTCACTTCCCCTCTGTGAGGTTATGGTTCTTGCTCTTACATGGGAATAATTAGATTTAAAGATTATTGTGAGCATTCTGTGCTGTCAGGTGTCAAAGGCCTCAGAGTAAACATTTAGTAAATTTGGAGGCTTATTCTTTGGGCATGCTAAGCTGTTATAACAAAAAAATCCCCAATGCAATGGTCTAAATGGAGTGGAAGTTTATTTCTTTCTTGTGTGCTCAGGCCTGATGGTGAGGTGAGCAGTCTGTGTAGGGAGGCCCAGCTTCATGATGTCACTCAGGGACCGAGGTTCCTGCCTTTTGTTGCTAGATTGTCCCCTAGGCCATGGTCATTGTGTGGTAAAAGCTGGGTTGCTGACACAGCGGAGGTCCAGTTCACTAGAAGGGGAGGAAGGAGTGCATTTTATCACTTCTCATATTCTATCAGTGAGGACTTGGACACCTGGCCACACCTAACTGCAAAGGAGACTGGGGAATGAAAATGTCCTCTCCAGCTGGTTGGCCATGTGCTCACTTAAAATTTTGTTACCATGGAAGAGGGGAAAAACAGATTGGGGGGTGGTCCCCTAGCCATCTGCCAAGTTATTACTGTTATTACCGTCATTATTACTGTGGCAAGTGTGGTGCATCGGGTCCTCCAACAACCTGACACTGGTTCAGTGCTTTGCTAGGAAGATTCACAAGGCTTAGCATATGGTTGGACTCAGGGCTCAGATTTGTCACAGTGAAGTGACTCAAAGCAGAATAGCAAGGGGAAAAGGTGCATAGGATGAAGTCCAAAGGAAACCAGGTGCAAGCTTCTGAGAGTCCTCTTCCTGTGGAGTCACAAGGGGCTCACTTAATTCCTCCAGCATTGAGTTGTGACGACACATGTCTACTAGGGACGCTCATGAGAGACTTGACGTCTGGGGTTTTTATTGGAAGCCGGTCACGTAGGCTCCCTCTGCCTGGTATGTACCAAAATTCCAGACTCCCAGGAGGAAAGCGGCTGTGCAGCATGTACCATATTGTTTGCACAGTCTGGGCACAGTGAGCCACCCTCATCAGTGAACCGTTGACTGGGAACACACTGAGAGCAGATGCCCAGACACCAGCCCAGTGCTCACCTTGCCGGAAGGCCAGTCTGACGAGAGCTGTGTCAGGTCTGCTGTGGGAACCCTTTTCTGCACAAGTGGTTGAGTAGCTCTTCCTGATGCTGGTGTGCTTGTCTTTCTCCCCACATCCCCAGGAGTGGGAGGAGCGGCGCAGGCAGAACATTGAGAAGATGAACGAGGAGATGGAGAAGATCGCAGAGTACGAGCGCAACCAGCGGGTCAGTACCGCAGGCGTCCCCCAGGGTGGGGCAGAGCTGCCTGAGCTACCATGACCCTGCCAACTCCCTGCTCTCCTGCCTGCAGGAGGGGGTGCTGGAGCCGAATCCGGTGCGGAACTTCTTGGATGACCCCCGGCGGCGCAGTGGGCCCCTGGAGGAACCTGAGCGGGACCGCCGGGAGGGTAGCCGCAGGCACGGGCGCAACTGGGGGGGCCCTGACTTCGAGCGGGTGCGCTATGGCCTTGAGCACGAGCGGCAGGTGGGTACTGTCAGCCTGGGCACCCTGGGGCAGTCAGTGTCCCTATGTGGACTCTCCGTGGACCATGTGCCAGGCACAGCAGAAAGCAAAACAGATAGCACAGGATATTCATTGTTAAGGATTTGTAGTATGTTTTATTTTGTGCTAGGGCTACATAAATTGAAATACAATAAAATGTCAGGTAATGCCAAATGTTGTGAAGGAAAAGCCAGCAAGGTGAGGGGGTAGAGGACAGCGGGATGGTACGTATGAGACAGATCTGAGTGGACCTAGTTTTCATCTCCACCTTGTCACCTTCTCCTTGTGTGACCTTGTGCAAGTGGCTCCACATCTGAGTTTGGGGGATGGGAGGTGTGACGTGGAACAGGGCCCTGACTGCCTGTTGGGGGCAGGGCCGCCGGGCTGCCCTGGGCGGTGCTGGTGACATGACGCTGTCCATGACGGGCCGGGAGCGGTCGGAGTACCTGCGCTGGAAGCAGGAGAGGGAGAAGATTGACCAGGAGCGGCTGCAGAGACACCGCAAGCCCACTGGCCAGTGGCGGCGGGAGTGGGATGCTGAGAAGACTGATGGGATGTGAGTCTGCTCCCTGCTCACCCATTTGGCTCCTTGACCTTGGCCCAGATTTCTACTTGCTTTGCTTCTTTCTGGTTTCTCACCCTGTGTATCAGTAGCACCAGCTGAGCGAGTGCTACAGTAATGCTGTGTAACAGCTCTAAAGCTCAGTGTCACATAAAAGCATTTCTTTCTCATGTTTTCACAGGTCAGCTAGGCTTGGGTGATCTAGGCTGTATGTTTTTTTTTTTTTTCCCCCCGCAACCCTCCGTGTGGCACCCGTACCGCGACCGGCAAGGGGATTGCAAGCCTCGGTGTCGCGCCCGCACCGCACTCAACCAGTGAGCGGACCGGTCTCTATATGGGATCTGAACCCTCGGCGGGAGCGCCGCCATGCTCCCAAGCGCCGCACTCTACCGAGTGCACCGCCGGGCCGGCCCTAGGCTGTATGTTAAGTGGCAGGTCCCTCTGGGCCTGGCTCCTTGGTGCTGGTTGAATGCAGGTCTGCTCCACATGTGTTCATTCTGGGGTCCTGGCTGAGGGCAGCAGCTATCTGGGGATACACTAGTCATGGCATTGGCAGATACGTGAGCAGGCGAGTGGATACACTTCCGCATTTTGTTAGCCAATAGACCCAGCCTCGTGGGGCGGGAGAAGGAACTCTGCACTCCTGGGGATGGTATAGCAGTGGCTATGTGGCTAAGAGTGTGGATGTCAATTCTGATGTAGGGAGGGTATGAGGAATTGCCAACAATGATTAGACCTTTGCACCCTTCCTCTGTCCTGACCTGTCTCTCACCAACCAAGATCCCTGAATTTCTCTACGTGCTTGCCACCATCATCTTATCCCAGTGGTACTGTTATCCTCAAGACTGACTGTGTTCCCTTTTGGGTCCCAGAAAACATCCAGTCAGTCAGACTTAAAGCAAAGGCAACATTGTATCATTGTCATGAGGACCAACTTCCATAGTCATTCTGGAAGAGCTGACGAATGGCAGTCTGTAAAGATCAGCAACTTTAGGTTTTATACCATCCGTGGCTGCATTGGAAGTTTTCGTACACCTATAATCTATCGATGGCTCTGGCTAAAGAAAAAAGGAGTCTGTTGGGAGCTTTTTTTCCCCTGGATTGTGAGCCATGCTTGTGTAAGCGTGAAATGTTTTGCACAGATCTGATCTTTCTAAGGTATAGGGAGCTGGGCTTTTTGGGAGACATTCTCAGACTTAAGAATGAGAAAGTATGGGCTGTCTGATTAGCTCAGTTGTTTTTAGTGCAGTGTTATAATACCAAGGTCAAGGGTTCGGATCCCCATACTGGCCAAAAAAAAAAATGTATCCCTAAAGAAGTCAATTTGTCAATAAGTATTTATTGAGTTCTTCTTATGTGTCATAGGTGGTTTTAGGTGATGGAGATACAGCAGTGAACAACTACCTTCACGGAACTTAAAGTTTAGTGGGAAAGCTGGGTAATGAGTAGATCTAATGTCAGGCTGTGAAGAATAATGAAGTGGAGTAAGGAGATAGGGATGGGGGTTATTATTTTAGACTTAGGAAATATATATAAAATATTATTTTTTTAGAAGGGGGTTCAGGAAGGCTTCTGGGCTGAGGCCTGGGGGAGGTGAGGGAGGGGGTCACTGAAAGGTATGGGGAAGAATGTTCCAAGAGCAGCAGGTACAAAGGCTCTGAGGCAGGTGCTAGATGTGGTAGGAGAACCTGCTTAGCTGGAGAGGTGAGAGTGAAAGGAAATGAGATCAGACAGGGAACTGGGGATCATGTTCTTTGACAAGGGTCTGTGGTGACCCCCCCCAAATTTTTTTTTTAGGGGCCAAATTCTGAATCATTTTTCTTTCTGTATTTGTGACTATGATGTCTGCTTTGCCTCTCGTCTGCCACCTGATCCAATCCCCTAATTAGTGACCCCCTCTGGTTGGCCGTCTGTCTTTCTCTGATCTGATTTCTTTTTTTTGGCAGCTGGCTGGTATGGGGATCTGAACCATTGACCTTGGTGTTATAAGGCTGTGCTCTAACCAACTGAGCTGACCACCCTTTCTGATCTGATTTCTGACCCTGGCCTGCATCTCTCCCCCTGCTCTCCTCACACTCCTCTGGCTCCCTTGTTCCCCCAGCTGCCTGCTCACTCCTGTTTTCTTTCCCCAGGTTCAAGGATGGCCCAACTGCTACGCATGAAGTGTCCCACTGCTATGGTGAGTGGTGTGGGTATCTTTGGACAGGGTGAGGCAGCCGGCTGGGTGTGGGGGTGGGGAGGTGGTTTACGCTGCTCTCCCTGACTCTTGGGTTCTGTTGTAGATGAACAGGCCTGGGCCCGGCCCCCCAAACCCTCCACTTTTGGGGAATTCCTGTCCCAGCACAAAGCTCAGATCAGCAGCCGCAGGAGGAGGAAGAGCATCCGATCCCAGGCCAAGGCAGCCTCCCATGCCTACAGGTGGGGGTATTCCTTCCCCTGGCATGTTCATAGCCCCAGTGGCTGCGTGGCTTTGTCTCTGGGGTGTTCTCTTCTCTGACTTGCATGTGTAAGTTTGGTGCATCTGTCTGTCCCCGTCTCTTTCTGTCTTGGCCCTGTCTCATAGGTACTTGGTTTGGAGGGTTGGGTCTGGCTGGCTCTTAGCTTTACCCTCATCTGTCACCTTCTTCCTTCCTACCCATCTCCCCTTCTGCCACCTGGTCCCCCTTCCATCTTTTCTGTCCCCTGACACCTGGGGACATGCATCTACCATTCCCTTCTCCATGCTTCAACATGCCAGATCCTCTCTGGGCAGCTGCTCACTGGCAAGGAGTGGGAGGTAGGAAGCCCCAGCCTCCCGTCCACCCTCCACCTGTTTTTCACCCCTTTCCTTTGTCCCATCCAGTGACCATGATGACCGCTGGGAGACAAAAGAAGAGGCATTGTCTCCAGCCTCAGAGGCCCCACAGCCCACTTCCCCTGAGGAGACATCCACACAGGTAAGACAGGGCTGTCAGCCCCAGGCAGGGGCGTGTGGGGCTGCTCAGGGCCCTCATCCTTTCCCTGACCACTTTGTGTTCCCCACAGCCACCTGAGACTCCAGCCCCTGCCCACCGGCCTCCTGAGGATGAGGGGGAAGAGAACGAAGGGGATGAAGATGAGGGGGACGAGGATGAAGAATGGGAGGATGTGAGTGAGGAGGAGGAGATCGAGGAGGAGGAGGAGATCAAGGAGGAAGAAGAGGGTGATGAGGAGGAAGAACCAGCCCAAGACCACCAACCTCAAGAGGCTGATCCCACTGGGAACCCCATCAGTGAGCAGGCCGAAAAAGTGCCCTCCAGGCCAGAGGAGCCCTTGCCACTTCCCCAGACTACTGCCACGCCTTCCAGTCCCTTCTTGCCACCTGGTGGCCACCAGCCCGTGTCCGACTGGGGTGAAGAGATGGAGCTGAATTCTCCCCGGATCACCCACCTGGTTGGCGCCCTCTCTCCGGGTGAGGCCTGGCCTTTTGAGAATGCATGAAGCTGGCTGACTGTGTGTGCGCTCGAGGGGTATGGCTGGCAGGGGGCCCCTTGAGGGCTGGGCCCCAGGACCACGTGTGCCCCACAGCCCTGGTGGCTGGGGAGGGCAGTCCATGTCCCCTTTGTATTGTCATGTCCCTGTCTCTGGAATGCCCACTCCCAGAGACTGCCCCTGGGCCATTCAGAGCGCCCTTCCTAATAAAGAATTCACATCCTCAAATGACATTCCCCCAAGTGTGTGCTTGAACCCCCTCTCACTCTCCCTGGGCCTCCTCTTTTGGGGTGGGGATTTGTTTGGAGAGGATGGGGGCTTGACTGGGCCTCCCCTTTTCAGGAGGTGACCAGCCAATCCCTGTCTTCCCGGAGAGTGGGCCCAGCCTCCCAGGAACTCAGAAAGCTGAAGAGGAGGGGTCTGAGGCTGTTCCAGGTGGGGGAGTACATGGGGTGGGTGGAGGCGGAAGTGGCCTCCTTTTTCTTCCTCTGGGGCTAAGAAGGAAAAGGGCTTGGGGTGAGTAGGATGGGGTCGAGGCTCTGCCATGAGTGGGTCAGAATAGCATGTGAACATGGGGGTAAGGTAAGAGTGCTGGGTCAGGCTAAGGATAGGATAGGGGGTGGGACTGGAGCCCTGGCAGTAGGAGTGGAGCTCAGAGATGGACTTTAGGGGGCGAGTCAATAGGAATTGAGTGTGTGGATGGAGCCAGTTAAGGAGGTGGAGCAAGGATAGGACAACAATTTAGAGGTTGACCCCAGTGGATTTAGAAAGTAATATAAAAGTAGTGGGGTAGGGCTAGGACCTAGGGGAAGGGCTAACGGCAGAATTAGGTATTTGAACCGGGGTCCTAAAGGTCAAAAGTAAGAATGGGTGACAAGCAGAGTAATGGATTTAGCTGTGGGGGAGATTAGAATTTTGAGGTGCAACAGAGTGGGGTAAATTGGACTAGAAATGCAGACCCGATGAGAATTTGGGGCCCATTGGAGTGGCAGCAATAGGCTGGGCCTAGTTCCACTTGGTAGGAACCAGGTTTGGAACCAGGGGGCTGTCTCCCTTCCCCCAGGAGTGGGATTAGGATTTGGGGGCAGAGCCAAGGAAGGGTTGGTTAGATGTCAGGTGGTGGGGAAGGAAGGGGGAGGGCTGGTCCTGTAGTGCTCTCTTGATGGAGATTGGTTAGGATTGTGGGCTGGGGCTGGGGCTGAAGAAGAGTTTGGGTTGGCGGGTGGGGTAGGGGCCCAAGCGCTCGGTCTTTACTCTGTATTGGCAGGGTGACCGTGATCTCGTGACACCAGCGTTTCAGTGATTGTAAACAGGGTTATGTTGGTGGTGTATGCCTCTTCGTGGGTCAACTGAGAGGATTTAAGGAATTAGGGCCGTAAACCGCTTAGTGCGGTTCTGCCTGCAGCCTGGCTCTCTAGGGAAGAGGGGCTGGGCTACACGTGGGGAGGGTGTCCAAGGACTGAGAGGAGGTGGGGAGGCTGTTCCCCTCCGCTGATCGCCCCTTTTCTCCCCAGAGGCCGGCCCCGAGGGCCAGGAGACAGCGGAGATCACCGACTTCCAGAGGGTGCGTTTCTGCAAGGTGGTGGCGGCAGTACCGCCACCGGGGGCTGCCCGCTGACCGTGCCCACCGGACCGCGGCTTCCACGCTCTGCACTAACCTGTCACCTTGCTCCTCTGTTCTCTGCTTCTGCCGCACTCCAGCCAGGAGAGGGTTAAATATAAGGGGGGAGGAGCCGGGGTCATTGCCCCGGGTGGGGCCTGGGCAACGGTCTGAATTTTGTGAGAACTCGGTCCGGGCCCCACAAATGGGGGACATCGTGGGACCGGGATGACTGAGACACCTCCAAGCTAGCCACCCGTGGAGGCTATGGGTGGCTAGGTGCCAGTCCCCGGGCCGAATTTCCTGCCTCCAGGAGTTTACATGTGGGGTATAGCAAATAGCCGATGACTCTTCCGAAGGACTCGACTGATTCGGACGGGCGCCAGTCCCATCTGTATTAAACACAGTGCTTCCGCTAACCTTTGAGCTCTGTGTCTGGCGGGGCAGTCTGGGTTGCTGCGCTTGGCGGGCTTTTCCGTGGCGGAAGACGTGGGAGGAAAGGGTCTTCCTCCAACCCCCTGATACATCTCCTCCTTTCCCCTCCCCCCCGCAGGCCTCCCCAAATTCCTGAAGACGCTGCTGGGAGGGGCCTGAAGCTTCCCCGCCTTGATGGGGAGGGGGTGGCAGGAACGGGTTTATCTGGATCTCCAGCCTGTGTTCTCTTCTACCCGGAGCCCACTCTGGACCCAGTGGCCCTAGGGAGAGGGAGAAATTGAAGCTGGGGGAAGGGACATAATTGGGGTGAGAGGCGGAGTTGGAGCCTAGGGGCGTGTTGTTAGAATTCAGGGCACCTAAAAGGGCAGTTGTATGTATGGAAAAGGGGGCAGGTCCCATGAGGGGCGGGGTTAGGGTGTTTGTAGGGGAGGCCAGAATTCCGGTGGGCGGAGTTAGTTAACCACACGGGGTGTGTGTGACGTGGGGGCGGGGCTAGGTCCGAACGAGCCGGTGTAGGTAGGGGCGCCTAACGCTGGCATGGGGCGGGGCCAGAACACAGCAGTGCCGGGCCAGTGAAGTGGGGAAGGGGGGTGCCAGACTGCTGTGTGGCGAGGCCAGAGGGGGAAGAGGGCGACGTTCGAGGGCTGGAGTAGACAGTTCGATTGGTAGAAAGGGGAGTTAAAGTTGAGACAGGGCGCAGGCT